GGCTTCCCGAAGGCTTTCACCAGCCTGCGTCATTTCACTTCCCCGATTCCAGCGAAAAGTAAGGCTATTGCTTATGTTTTTAGAATTTTTAATATATTTATTCATTTTGATGTGGTTTTGCTCTCTGAGCTGGATAGTTAGTTTGCGAAGCTTTCATCACCTTACTGGGTGACATCTTCAGCGCATACTTCAAATTGAAGTGAGCTTTTAGGTTTCTCCACGAGTTTATTAATCATTCCTCCTGGTGACCTTGGACGTGATTGGTTGTTTATGTATGTTTTCACACCTTCTAGGTTACTTGTGTTGGAACTGATTGTTTCTGTGACTTGAACTTTGGCCAATCGTGTGTGAAGTTTCTTTCTTATTGGTTGATAAATTTTGTCTATCTCGATGTGTCTATTGATTGATGATTCACTGGAATGCCAAGCTTCTAAAAATTCTCTAGCATTCTTGTTATTTCCTTTGTCTAATATTTGAACGTTGTCCCAGTCGAATTGATGTCCGTGGTTGTCTGTATGTAGTGATATGAGGGAGTGTATATCATGTCTTTTGACGGCTAGCTTATGTTCGTGGATACGAAGACGAAGGGGACGTCCACTTTGGCCAATGTAGTGTTTTTCACAGTTGTTACAGTTTATTTTGTAGATGATGTTGGTTTTGTCTTCTTTTGCTGTTGAGTCTTTTGGTTGACATAGAATTGAGTGCAGCGACTTTGTTGGTTTGTGTACGACGTCAATTCCTAAAGGTTTGAAGAGTCTTTTAGTGATTTCTGAGATATCCTTTATATATGGTAAGGCGATTTTCTTTGTGTTTTCCTTGGTGGCTTTTGTTTTGGTAGGTTGGCTTGGGGGTATATGTCTCTTGATGAAATTCCGGGGATATCCATTCTTTTGGAAGACGTCCATGAGATACTTTTCTTCAATTTTTCTTAAGGTGGGAGTGCTGCAGTGAGTCCTTGCTCTCTTGAATAGTGTTTGTATGCAGTTCCTTTTGTGTGCTATTGGGTTGTTGCTGTTGTAATTCAGTATTTGGTCTGTGTGAGTTGATTTCCTATAAACTTGAGTTTCTAATTCTCCTGTAGTTGTTCGCCTGACTAAGACGTCCAAAAATGGTATTTTGTTCTCGGATTCCTCTTCTCTTGTGAATTTGATGTCGTTGAAGACGTTGTTTATTAAGTTGTGAGTTTTGTCTAATTCGTTTCTTTTGATTATTACAAATGTGTCGTCGACGTAGCGTATCCAAATCTTGGGTTTGATCTTTGGTAGAATTATGTTTTCGAGTCTTTGCATCACTGCTTCTGCAATCAAACCTGATATTGGCGATCCCATGGGTGTTCCTTTGACTTGCTCATATATTTGGCCGTTGAATTGGAAGTATGTTGTTAGGCATAGATTTATGCATTCCATCCAGCTTGTGTGTTGCATTTTTGATTGTTGTGGAAGTTGTTCGTCGTTGCTAAGTAATTGCTCCATGGTTTCTTTTGCTAGTTTTTGTCCGATAGAGGTGTATAATGCTGTCACGTCGAAGGATACCATTATTTCTTGTTCATCTATTTGGATGTCTCTGATTTTCTCTAGGAATTGGATAGCAGAGTTGATGGAGTGATCACAGGATTCCGTTAGGTGTTTTAGTTTTCTGTATAATTCCTTGGACAAATTATATGTTGGAGTTCCTGGGAGTGATACAATTGGTCGTAACGGGATATTTGCCTTGTGTATTTTGGGTCTGCCGTAGAATCGAGGTAGGACTGGTCCATTGGATTTCATTCGCCATTGGTCTTGTTTTGTGATCTGTCCAGTTTTGCTGAGCTTGTTTAAGGTCCTTTGGATGCGGTTGTCCAATGTTTGTATGGGATTTGTTGGGAGTTGTTGATATACATCTTCATCTTTGAGTAGTTCTTCAGCTTTCTTGGTGTATTCTTCTCTGTCCATGACTACTGTTGTTCTTCCTTTGTCGGCTGGTAAAATGACGATGTCCTTCCTATTTTTCAGCTTTTTGAGGGCCTTTAGTTCTTGAGAGTTGAGTTGTGTGTGTTGTCTTTTCTGTTTGACCATTGGTACAATTGTTTGGCGTATCTCTTCCTGTGTTTCCTCGTTCAAGTTTGATGATTTGAATAATGATTCAAGGGCAGCGAAGAAATCAGTTTTTGAAGCATCTCCGGTGTTGTAGTTTAATCCTTTTTGTAGTAGTTGTTGTTCCATTTTTGATAGTGGTTGTTTTGATAGGTTGACTACGCAGTCTATGGGCGTATTGTCTGGTTGTTGTTTTCTAATCTTGGCTAACTTGGTTTTGAGGACTCTTCGTCTTTGTTCTCTGTGTTTTCCACTTGACAGTGAAATTGCGGTGATCAGCGTTGACAGGTGTTCTTGGTTGAGGGTTTTCTCTAATTTTGCTTTTTGGACATCTATTATTTGTTGATATTTGTTGATCCGATAATGTGCGTCCGTAATCATTAATTTGACCATTCGTCTTCCACATTGTTCGGCCAATTTCCATCCCATTGGGCAGTTGACTGGTGGCTTGTATCTTACACTGTTTGGTAGGATTGAATGACGAAGGCACTCATGGAGAAAGAATAATTGTTCTCTGGTGGATCCTTGCCTTTTGGCGAAGTCTTCCCACTTTCGAACAGAGAGAAGCGTATCCCGCTCGTAAGATTTAGATATGATAGAGAAGATTTGTAGCTCAGGTGGATAATTTTGATGTGGTTTTGCTCTCTGAGCTGGATAGTTAGTTAGTTATCAACCAATAAGAAAGAAACTTCACACACGATTGGCCAAAGTTCAAGTCACAGAAACAATCAGTTCCAACACAAGTAACCTAGAAGGTGTGAAAACATACATAAACAACCAATCACGTCCAAGGTCACCAGGAGGAATGATTAATAAACTCGTGGAGAAACCTAAAAGCTCACTTCAATTTGAAGTATGCGCTGAAGATGTCACCCAGTAAGGTGATGAAAGCTTCGCAAACTAACTATCCAGCTCAGAGAGCAAAACCACATCAAAATTATCCACCTGAGCTACAAATCTTCTCTATCATATATTTATTCATTGAAGTTTCTGTAGCGATTTGGTTGTTTTACAGGGGTGGAGTTGCTAGCACCACGCCCCAACCCTCCCTCTTTACCCGGGCTTGGGACCGGCGAGAAAACTAGTAAGCTAGTATCTGGCGAGCATTTGTCATGGAAGCTATTAATGTGCAGTATACTGTTTGATTGGGACGGGCTGAAAGCAATAAAATGCTACAACTACATTTAATGCAAAATATCTCAGAGCCTAGCATCGAAAAAGGAGGGACGGTGGCGCATACTGATCAACAGATATGGTAGTGGTCACAAATGTGAATCGCTTCGATCTGTAGGACAGCAATATGCAATTTTTGACAGAGCGAGAATCAAACATGAGTCCAGGTCGTCAACACAAAAAAAACTGTAGTGGCTGCACAGGTCAAAATTATTAAAAAATGCTTCCGCTCCTACCATCTACAAGCCTACACAGCTTCTTGTCAAGATGCTACGACATAGGCCCTACAGATATTCGTGAGACATCTTACAGGTCGGCTTGTCCTACACATTCTAAACTTTCGGTACTTTGAATTCACTTCTCACTGGAATACCACTTATCTACCTCACGATAATTTTTTTCATTTACGCACTATTATGCTCTCTTTATCTTAGCCACCTAGGCCTTTAATAAAGTGAAAACTTACTCTTTGTTCACATTTGTTGCTTGCTTAAAGTCTGGTTGCTCTGATGAAAAAACACAACAACATCAATGTTGGAACATAGCTATATTTTCATCGACACCATAGTCTCCATGGTAAGACTAATATGGTTAGCATTAAACATTGCAAATGTATGCTATCATTCCAAGGACTCTCTAGCTTATTGTCGTATATATCTTGTAAATGTACTTCCAATGATGTATTATCAATAATTTTTTTACATTTCGCAACTTCCCAGGACGTTCTCCTCTTCCTAAAATAGCTTTTAATCACGTGTGGGCATAGCACTTATCCAAATATATACGCGGTTCACTGGTTGATCGTGACTACCAGCAGGAAACTGAACGAAGTTTGGGTCGTCGCTCAAATTTGATGGCGACCTTAGTGAAGGGTTTACAATTTAACATGTATAAGAACCTCATCGGACTGCTTGGACAATAATCGAACAATCTAAACTTTTGAAAAGTGATTAATTTATGATTCGTCACGAGTGTAATTTACGACATAACTGATCGTGCCTGTAAAAATCGGATGCATTTCTTGTAAACTTACACGTTTATACGGAACATAAATTACTATTATTATTTAATGACTGGCATCATGTGTCGAGTCCCTTGTTCGGTGCAGACTGAGTCCTATCAATCAAGTTTGTTATGAGGATACTACGCCAGATGGCCCGCTATCACGTCACTTTGCACTCTGAATTGTTGCTGTTGAATGGTTTAGGAAGATCGGCAGGAAGCCCCTTCTATACCTAAGTTTTACGCTTGTTGGCAGGACTCATCTGTCATCAAGGCATATCTTCAGTCTTCAGGGAACTGAGATCCCTCCTGAAATTCGAACTTGTGTTAGCCAGTGCTGCAGTCAGGGGCGTTACCGTCGAGTTATTCGAACTCGCGATTGACCTCCAGTAGGACTGTATTGAATACTCTGTTTGGACATCACATGGTAGTGAATGACTCTTATGAAGTGTCTAGTCCTTTGTCTAATAATACCACACAGTCTACAAGAATTATTTAATCTAGGCACCAGGTTAAAACATTCTGAGATGTCTTCATTCGGTGTGCTATATCAGCTCGAAACGTCTTGCAGTTATCAATAGTGTGTTGCTGCGTGCAATGTCCGATAAACTTATCCAATACGAAATTGTATTCTACCACTCCAGAAACTCTGCTCTTACACTAAACTTACCTAAGATTGAAACAAATATACCCTCTGAATACTTAGTCGTTATATGATGATAACCGACTGTGTTTGATAGCTGTAACATAACACGAAGGAATCATTTATCATGCATAATGTGACTTGTAACTTGCATAGATTTATTTTTTTCAAAAAGATTTACACATGTATACAGTTGTAGGCATCTTGCTTTAAGAACACAAAAAGGTATGCTTGTGAATGACGCAGAAGACTAAATGCACAGAAAGTGGAAATGCAGTTCCTTTTTTTCAAAAATCTCTCTCTTTTTACAATTTAACACATAAAAAATATGAAACAAACAATGAATCAGAAGAAAAGAGGTGAACACACACATATAATGATGAGTTAGCGATGTTGTTCAAGATCCATATTGCCCAAATCTATTTCGTCATCATTATATATATTTTCAGCCTGAAAGAAAAAACCAACAAACGAAAATGTTAAATGTTTATAGGTTTTGTGATGACAAGTGAGAAAACTGATGGAAAGCCGACAACCTACTTAGTTATGCAGACCAATTTCAAATCAATCACTTTAAATTATTGTTGCTTCGATTGTACCAAGAAAAAACCTAGCTTACGTAATATGTTGTTCATACAATATCGAAAGCAACTGAAAAAAATGAATGTACGGCCTACCTAAAGTGCACAAACAAGACATCCCATTCTGCCCGATACTAGATATGATAGATTCTCCATATCGCTCAATCGCGAAATGGCTGATAGAGATCCTTCAGCCGGTTGAAGAAAAGCTGTCAAGACACAACCCTTCGCAACACATTGGATTTTGTTGATTCCGTTAGGAATGTCAGTTTTATAGGGAAAAAGTGGTCTCCCTAGATGTCGTTTCTCTCTCTTCACATATGTCCCCTACTGACAGAAACTATGTTTTCTTTGTGATTTCATTCAATCCAATACCATCGATGTTGGAACACCGTTTCATTATCTAAACGAGCTGTTACTCCGATGCATTTCCAATGTCTACTTTAGATTCAATAATGGAATCAACAGACAAACAGATGGCGTAGCAATGGATTCTCCTCCAGGACGCCTCTTGGCTGACTGTTTATGGCTAGCCTAGAAAAAGATTCATCATCAACTAAGAACAAGCTTTATCTCCACAATATATACACTGATGATATTTCAAACCTTCAATAATATCCACCTAAACATCGACTACATTCTAGACGCGATATTCCATTTCCTCAATTTTCAACTGTGAAGAAATGCAGATAGCCCTGTGAGGAGATGCATATACAAACAGTCCACACGGAATCGATAGTTTATCAACTTTCACAGTTGTGTTCCCCAAAGCAGAAATGGAAAACCTCATATACTCGCTTTCCTCAAAGAACGACAAATTATCTACAGAGGAATCCATTGAAGTAGAACAACAAAATCTCCGAGGAATGTTGATGGAAAATGGTTTTCTACCTAGAATTGCAGACAAGAACCTAAAACCAATGAGAACTTCTCAACAGGTCCAAGTTGCTGAAGCCGAAATTCGCCATAAACTGTTTTAGGAATCTCTCAGTAAAACATACTTCGCCAACCAACCTACGAGTGATGTTTTCTTGCAAGAAGCCATTCAACCAGCCGTCGCAGTTAACCACTTAAACATGCATTTACTAATTTACTTGCTCGTGTGGAGCTGATTACATCAATCGCACCATGCGTTCGCTTGTAAAACGAACTCGGGAAGACTACCCAACCTGGCTAACAAAGGGAGAATGCAAGGATGCATACAGTTCGGTAACTGAACATCAGGTGAAGTCAGAACAGCCAGCTCCATTTGAAAAGTCCTTCAGACTCCTATAAACAAGACCCGATCAAACCTCTCAAAGACAGTGAGATCAAGGTATCTGTTCATAGCTAAGGCACTAGTGATCCCAAAAATGTTCATACCCGCGTTATGTATTCAAATGAAATACCTCCTCATTCACACTACTACTATGTTTCTCATCCGAAATTCTTGTTTATTTTGTTATTTTGCTACACCAATAATCCGTAATTGTAAAGGTTTACTTTCTCAGTAGTCATGATTCAACTGTGTTCTGAATCCAATCTTCCTTTTTAATATCACATTTAATCCCTACTTTTCAATTGTGATAATAATAATTTGCTTTATACCAAAACAGTACTAATGATACAGTGTGGGATTTCCAGCATTTGTTACAATATTCCATCTAATTTAATCGAATAACACTAGAAACAATTATAAAGATAATATTACAGGATTGATTCTTAATGGAAGTTCTTATGTGGTATTTGTAGTGATAGAAAAATCATACATATATATAGCAAAAATTGTAAATATTAATGATAATAATGTCAGTATCTAAGATTGTCAATCAGTTAATCGAGATAGTACCACTACAGATTATAAATAGAAGAGCCGATTATTTTGCTAACAACATAGTAATTCATAGGTTTTGCGCCTTACATTGTCTCTACTGCATAGAACACAGGGTGGCCAGATATGGTATCGTTGACTTCCTATACTTGGCAGTACGAGCATATAATCTGCTTAACTGACTTCTACTTCTACCGGATGAGACAAAAGGTGGAGAGAGTCGAGAAAAGGAGGTCTGGGTGTTGAGGGTCAGACAATATGGATTCAGACCATTTTCCGCATGAGTTGTTCACTTGTCTATCAACTAATGTAGTAACAAGCTGACTGACTAATTTGCACACCCTTTACCCTACTGACAACCTTTAATAGCCTTGTTCTTGAAATGACATAGTCCTTTTACAGTAGCCAAGGAAAGACTAAGGGTGGGGATCAGAAAAGTACAGTGTGACCTTTGACCAGAAATAGTTCTGGAACTTTCTCACCTACTTACTATATATATATATATATATATATATATATATATATATATATATATATATAAATGAATATAAGGCCTAGTTGATAAATTCACCGGAAAAAATTTTCTTCGCTGCAACCATCTTTTAATATTTCCTATTAAAAAAGTGTATATAAGTACTTCTGCCGATGTGAAATATAATCGTGAATAGAAAAAGAACAAGTGTACAAAAGTGTATGTGTTTGGATCGTGCTAACTTTTACACCTTAAAATGGTCTACAAATCTATTTTGGACAACAGAAACTACGGGAGTGTCGCATTAAGCGTTATTAGCCGAAGCTACAGTACTACACTGGATCCCTGTCAACAGATGTTTATGCTTATGACAGGCTAGAAGAATACACAGCAGTTAAAAGTGTGAGTGCTTCCCAACATCTATGCGCCCAAGCACCAACGGAATATAACCCGGGTGCAATTAAGCATGAGTTCTATATAAATTTGTTTATTAGATATATCACACATCATTCAAAAGGTATTATTAAGTGGATGACAAAGAATCGAACACAAATTATTGTTGTTCATAATCAGAACATCAACTATAACCATAGAACTTCAAAACTTTCGTTTTGGTAATTCTCTTTATTCATTCCTATTCGTCGTCGTAGGCGTAGTAGAATTTTCCAGATATGAGGATAAAACTTAGGCACTGTGGTAGAGCATAACTCCATTATGGATAAAATTTTATTTTGGTAAAATCACACAGTGTTATACAGTAGTATTTACTGATGACGTTTCGAGCACAAATTATTGCTCATAATCATATCAAGGCACTCACACAACTTTCTTGCTTCATTTATACACAGATCCCTGGGTGTAAAGATGTTGAATCGCTCCTATTACACGTATATGCAGTTGATTCGACGAATAAAGCTTCCGTAATCAATCTCTTCCTCCACCCTGTTACACTGAATCTTATAACTGTCATCTTATCCAATCAGACTATTCTATGGTTGTGTGTAACTGCATGCAGTCAGTGGTAAAGCTAAACTATTCTCCAGATTTCTTACCTTATTCGGTTCAATTAATCTAGATTTTGCTAAAATTTTACGCTCTACTAGCCTGACTGACTCGCCCGTTCTACTACTTCGAGTTAGGTCTTTGACCTGACAATCAATACAGTAGGATAGTAGATAAATTCAATTGTTTTACTTAATTGGCTCCATAGGCAGGATTCTTTAACTAGCAAAGAATGTTTCTATTTGAGTTAGTGGATCTGAATGCCAGCTACTTTTTGTTATGTACTAGTTTCTAAATTATTGTTATGGTCTGGTCGAGAAACTTATAGTCCTGACGCGAGAAGGCGGAAATCAGAAGACCACTAGGTTTGCGATGATACTTCTATTGTCCAAACACAAGGAGACGAAAATAAATGGTCTCACACCAAAGTGGTAAGTAAGTAAGGTAGTTCACACAAAATGTGTGAACGAAATATATATATAACAAAATATATATAGCAGACATGTCAAACAACCATAAATGGATATATGTCACTAAGCTACGGATTGTCAACAAACACTCATATTATATATAATATAATACAAGGAGAATACACATTATTAAAGGAGACAAGTTCATACAAGTGAAATGGTCACAGACTAAGCGAGCAAACAGAAAGAGAGACCAACACACACACACATAAATAAATATATATATATGGATACATATCACTTTTATTCCTGCATTATTAAGAATTCTCCGCCTTAAGGTTTCCGAGGTCCCTTCTTTGTATGCAAGTACTACTGATGATTTAAATTCACTGCGTTGGTGTTGTTATTATTCTGTGCAATTTTGATATTCATGTCATTATTAATATCATTATCAATATCACAACGATAACCATCATTATTGATTTGAATTTTACATTTACCTACATACTTCCTAATATTTTATCAGGATGATTATTAAGTTTCAAAGTTTCTTCTATATGCCTCACTTCCTGTCTTAGACTGGTGGGTCACAAAAACCCAGCAAAATCTAGATTAGTTGAACCGAATAAGGTAAGAAATCTGGAGAATAGTTTAGCTTTACCACTGACTGCATGCAATTACACACAACCATAGAATAGTCTGATTGGATAAGATGACAGTTATAAGATTCAGTGTAACAGGGTGGAGGAAGAGATTGATTACGGAAGCTTTATTCGTCGAATCAACTGCATATACGTGTAATAGGAGCGATTCAACATCTTTACACCCAGGGATCTGTGTATAAATGAAGCAAGAAAGTTGTGTGAGTGCCTTGATATGATTATGAGCAATAATTTGTGCTCGAAACGTCATCAGTAAATACTACTGTATAACACTGTGTGATTTTACCAAAATAAAATTTTATCCATAATGGAGTTATGCTCTACCACAGTGCCTAAGTTTTATCCTCATATCTGGAAAATTCTACTACGCCTACGACGACGAATAGGAATGAATAAAGAGAATTACCAGAACGAAAGTTTTGAAGTTCTATGGTTATAATTGATGTTTTATTGTTATTACTATATCCTTTAATTCCTAGAGGAAAACAGGACTTCAGCCGCGCGTCTCCAATG